TTTACTTCATATCTACAGAATGTACTTCTGCTATTCTACAACTTAGATCACAATTATAAAAATAATAATTAAGCCATTATCAATCCACCAACGGATGAAGGTCTCCTTCCATACGATGTGGGTCATGGGGTTTATTTGAGGTTGGTGGAGTGGAGGGGGGGAGTGCAGGATGGGTTGTGATGTCACTTGCCACTGATGTTCGATGTGGCTGGGAATCAAACCCAGGTTGCTGGTTTCATCGCGCAGCGCACTAACAACTGTACCACCACTCCGCTCCCAGTTCCCATTTATACTTTTCATGAAATGTAATCCTATTATGTTTCACAGAGCTGCAAGACTCCTGTTATTTATTTCAGGTCAACAAGTATCGTCATCAGCCATGCCCTATCCACTGCTGGAATGAAGGCCTCTGCACTCCATCACCATGCCTCACAGTCCTACAATGCCATAAGCCATCTTGTTCCCACACGTGAGTTAATCCCGTCACTCCATCTCTGCTCTCGTTGTCCCGTTTGCTGTGTGTCCCCCTTTTCGTCTCTTTCTTTGTAAAATTATTCGATTATTATTTAATATATTTAATACGTAATTAGCATTGAATATATTAATTGTTATTTATGTATTTTAGAGATTTCTAAAGCAAACCGCAGAGACGTTTCAAAGCGCTGTACGGTATAACAAAACAACTTTCAATGAACGTCACAAAGACACGTAAGCAATAAATAACAGTGTAAAATATCAATGATACGGAATATTAATGGTACCTTCTTCAACATGCTCAACATACATGCCAATCTCATCGCTCCCTAATTATACAGGATGGTTAATTGTACCGAGAATAGTAACAACTACTGCTTAGTCAACAAAGTGATTGATTGCTCAAATGAGCATTGAGGCGATGTTCATCTCTTGTTTACAGCCCTGAGCCAGTGGTAGAGTACCGTACGGTGCTTCAGCCTGGCCCAGAAAATCATGCACAACACCGCTAGATGCACAATTTTAAACAACGCGATGCACATCATAACCGGAATACTGGAACCGACGTCAGTCCCCTGGTTCCCTTTTCTGGTGAACATTCTGTCACCAAATGTCCACAGAGACATGCAACCTGCAAAAACGTTGACACGAATTTTTGTAAACGAGTACCACAGCCATCATCATCATCATCAACCAATACCTCAACAATGTACCTCGCTGCCAACTCAAGTCCCGATCCCCCTTCTGGGTTCATGCTGTCACCATTCTAGAATCTCACCCAGATCCGGAAGGAAATATCTCCGGAACATACACCTCATATAAGAGCCAAACATCGCACCTCCTGGGTTTGACATTCCCCAAAGACACTGGTGTAAACATCAACCACATCAGAACATCAACAATCCGATGCGCATGCCTCCTTTATATGAATATAAAATGTAAAAGCAAGCCACAGTAGTGCGACTGTGGCCATGCAACCCAACTTATGGACCATGCAGTAATCCACTTTAGTCTGCACTCCTTCAATGGTGTAGTAGCAAAATAAAATCAAACACTCCCCTGAAGCCCTCTGGCGACTAGCAGACATTCGCATTTAGCTCCTGAATAAATTGACAAACTCGAGAAGAGAATGGAATGGCTTATTAAGCTCTTTTTTTATTGGAATTACATCAATTAAAATTAATAGGTTTTCAGTATGTATGTAATATATTTAATAGCAATTATAAAAATAGCGTGCATGAATCAGAATCAACAAAAGAATATTAAATACATTTTTTTCATATGTTCTTGGAAAAAAATCACACGTGAAAATAAAGATGAGTGTAATATCGACGGTGTTCCTTTTGTCCCTTATATTGCGCGACTATTTTATGTAAATGATTCCTTCTCAAAAACAAAGGCCACTTTGTTACGTTGGAACATATCGTTGAGACCAGTGTTAGTATTCGTTGCAGGTGTAATGGGTTCAATTTAGGCGCACACACTTCTTGGGAGGCAACACTCATTTATTAATTAACACAACGTTTACTCAAAAGTTACTCTTACTCTACACATAGGGTGGTGACCACCGACCTACACTAGCTAACACACAATTGTATTTTAGCCGCTCCAGCGTGACCCAGCCAGGTGGCTGCTGGCAGTCCGCTCACTGTAGGTCTTCTCTTCTGGCATCTTCACGAGGTGTCTTCATTCTTCTCAGGAACAGCCCTGCTCTGCCTTCACACTACGCTTATATCTCGTCTCTCTGGCGTGGCCGGCTCCGCCCAGGCCACGCCTCACTTCCCAGGCCACGCCTCACTTCCCAGGCCACGCCTCACTTCCCCCACCTCTGGGAAGGTCCGGATCCCTCCAGCACGTGACCCCCCAGGCACCCCCTTGGGGCCCCCAGCCCTCGTACGGGCCAACACAGTAGTGACCGTTCTGTCACTACACAGGTATGGAGGACGATGCTCCGCCACACAACACGTGCCCTGCCTCGATCCTTTCAGCCCAAGAGCGGAACTCCACCGTCTCCGTCACAGCACCGTCCGGTCCGCCGTCCCAGGGACTCGTGGCTTGGTCAGATCTGTCGTGACATCGCTCTTGCCTTGCAGATGATGCCCTCTACAATACGATGGAACGTAGACATTCTGTTAGGTCCAAAGAAGCCTTGGTTGTCTGCACGTTTCTGATTATGATTAACAATAGCATTATTAAGTGCGTCCCTCTTCTGGTATTGATACGCCTAAAAAAAGCCTGCAATGCAGAAACATATATTATCCATGTTGTTGTTTTCAATCTGTTATTTCCCCCTGCTGGGCGAATGCCTCCCTCATGTTATTACATTCCTATCCTTAGTTGCTTCTGTCCAGTAGTGGCCAATGAACACTGTGATTTTGTGTAAGTGCTGTCCCCTCCGATCTCTTCCTCTGCTTCTTTTTCCTTCTGTCCCTATCCACTCTTTATCTTTCATCTCACGTCAGCTGTTCTTAGGACATAGCCTGCGCATTAACACTTATTTATTTTTTCTTTAAACGATTGGCTGCCTCAATATTTGGGTTAATATGCTGTTATCTCCCATACATTCTATTCCAAAATAAAGCAACTACAAATTGATGAATAATGAAGCATGCTTCATATTACTGTAATTTTCAGATTGCGTTTAATTTCTGCTGATTATGCCTTGCTGTGACGTAAAAATAATAATCATATGACTGATAAGTATTCACTGATTTCTCAACAACTGATTGCATATTGTGAATACAATGGCTCCGTGTCTTACATATGAGATTGTTCAAAGCTTGTTCAAAGGTTAAATAAGTGGGAGATGTGCAGAGGCACTGCAATGAAATGGTGTTCATTTAGAATGTCTCCCTGTTTAGTGTGGTTTATACAAATGTGTGGCCCTGGCTATAAAATAGTGAAATCAATGGGCAGATGAGAATCTATATTTTTTATTTTAAAATTAAAAAGCAACATACCAACGTGTGTAAATAAGAATATTTCGAATTAATGCTAAATACCTGCTATTATTTTTGAATCTGAACAATGGCCAGTGACGAAGGAGATGGAAACTAAAGCTGAAAATTATGCCAAGACACACGGAGAGACGCATACTTGGAATTACAATGAGTGACGTAAAGAGGAACACGTGGTTGAAAGAATGTCCACAGCTTAAAGAAAAAAATGTGACCGTTAAGAAATGCAAGTGGGCTTGGGCCAGAACATCAGATGATGACCAACAGGCACCCAAGACGATGCCCACTGCAGAGATGGAGTGATACCATTGGCCTTTTTTACAGGCACTGGGTGTATATGAGATATAGTAACATCTTGAGAATGCCTTCATCCAGTCGTGGATTAGTCATGACTAAACGGTACATGCTTCCATGCTGTATAGAAATGAATTTACGAAACAAAAGATGGGGTCCAACGTTAGGTGAAAGCGAGTGAAATAAAATAAAATTGGGATCTTACATTTTCTGATAGGCCAGGATGAGACGATTAACGACATGGTCGCCCTTGAATATTTTCTAAAAGAGTGGGAGCGACACTGGGAAGATTGCTCGCTTGGTTTAGTATTCTATGAGTGAAGATTGAGGACTGATCAATCAAGTGATAGTGGAAAATATTAGACACCTTCAAGGGGATCAGAGTCACTGAAGATGAGAGGTTGGGATGAGCGGCAGGACATTTGTAATTGGAAATATTGTTTGACTGATATTTCTAAGAACAATAAAGTTAGGGTAAAGGTGGAACCATTACAATTGTTTGGTCACGCTATGGCTGGCGAAAGGGCCTCCACGATTGGGAGCTATAGAGAGCTAATCTAAGAGAGTTTTGTGGCCTTCTCTTCCACGGTGACTCGATGTCTTAGAAGAGGTGGGGCTATGCACACTTTACCCCACAGTACACGACCTGCTGATCAACCATTCACTTACTAAAGCCTGCGTGAGTCTCAGAACTCTTATACGGGAGGGTCCTGCATTGGGATGTTTGGTCAACTCAAATGAATGGGTCATTTCTGCCAGGATCAAAATACGAGTAGCTATTTACTCTTTTTGCCAATTAAACCGATGTTAAGATGTTAAAACACCAAACAGAAACCTTTTGCAAGGAATAATGTCTGCATTAACCACAATACTTGTGTTGAACATGCAAACAAAAATGCTCTGGTAATATATGCATTGTCTTTGAAAGTGATTGGTCGACAACAGAGACAGTTTTCTTGAGAGCCTAGTCTCAAACAGTGTTAGACCAGAGGACGCCAAAAGGCAAACAGGCGTTCGCCTTTTTGGCGAACAGCTGAATGCCAGAAAGGGTAAAACCAATTCTTATATTTCAATGAATGGGTGTTTTGCTTCCTGTGGAAACAAATCGCAGAAAAGCTGGAGACAACCCCACAGATGCAAGGGGACACACTCAGGACTGTCAACTCCTCGCCACCCTGCATCCCCTAGTCTACAACCCGTGGCAAGTTCTGGTGGGTCGCCCATATCCAAAGTACTCACCGGCTCAATGCTGCTCAGCATCTGAGACCCGACGAGGTCGGGGTGCATACAGGGAGCAAGCATTTTGGAAGTCACAAAGCCTTCACCACATTCGGTAACCAGCATTCCCTGGTGATCTCCCCACTTCCCCTTGTGCTTCTGCACTGCTAAATAAAATTTAAGGAGATGGTGTACTGCAGATCGTTTATGCCATTATTTTCGAACAAAGTTGTGCTGTATACATGTAGTAAGTAAAAGTTATGTATATGTATACACACATACAGAGATCCCCCATATAGACATGTAGACGAATGGGGCAAGTGCTGTTAACGAGCACATATTTAGGACAGCATGGCACACTGGACACTGCATCACTAGAATATTTAACGCTGTGATGATAAATACATGATGTTGCAACTGTTAGTTGTACGCGGAAAATTAATTTCTAAATAAAGCCTTCAGTATCCCAAACAAGCTTCGTCACTACAAAAAAAAAAACTGTGTAAAAGAAAATGTAATGGACTTGTTGGCAAGTCCATTTTTTCGATTAAATTTATAAAAGTAAATTTTCGATTTGATTAATTCCTGCACTTGTTGGCAAGTCCATGAATTAATCAAATCGAAAATTTAAGCCTTAACAGCAGCTAATAGAAACTGTCTCCGGCCCGGCAATCCCTTGTTAATGGGTAAGTTGTGAAAAACCCTTTCTACACTGAGACCCATTTAAATGTTTTATGTATTTGTATAAATTCGGTTACTTTGTATTTAACCATTCAAGTGAGGTCTGGATCGCCCTACTCAAGACGCTGCCGTCGCGACCCTCACCATGACCAAGCCGGTCGAGAAACGAACGAACACACTCGGTTATGCAAGCCAGTCAGCAAAATATATTAACATTCAACAATGATTGATGATGTACATGCATTTGTTTTTAGCTTCATATTGACACTTGAGTTATCTTCTCGTCGCATGGCTGGTGTGCATGCAGAGCAACAAATACAATTTCACATTCAAGTGGTCAAGCCAGACAACAGCGTACAGGAGCGGTCATTCTACCCAATCTACCGAGATATTGTAAATGCTGCAACTTGTGGATGTTTGCTGCCCTCTGTTGGACGACTGAGAGAAGCTGTGCATACATTTGAAATGAAGCCAGAGAACAGCGCTAGCGAAAGCGTTTTCATTCCACGTCGGCACTCTGAACCAAACACACACCGTGGACCTTTCATCCAGCAGTGGATTGATCATGGCTGATTATGTGTGTGTGTCTGTATGTGTGCGCGCGCGTCTCTTTCTCAAGTGATACGCCACGACGGATGAACTTGGGGCCGTCATGGAAATGTGGAAATTCCAAGATCGCTTTCCCCTCGGCCACTGCGAGTCAACCGCGTGGACTCAATTCGAAGCGCAGGTATCATTTAAGTGTCTTAAATACAATCTCACTTGCATCAACATGACGGATGAATGACTAAGTGTCGTGAACAAGGCTGCAAGTATTATATCCCCATGTGTCAGATTGTTCAGCTACCAATACCACATGTACGTGATCACGAGATGACAAGTGTTCGACATTATGCAGATTTCATGGCATGGCTTAATGTCAAACACAGCTGTAATTGAGACGTGGAGTGTAATCTCTCACACACAATTCAAGTTATTCATACTTTCCAATAACTACGCGTAATACTCTGCTTCCGCATGAAGTAGGATTACGTTTGTAAATTATGTATTACTCATGTATCTATATATATAAAATCGCAAATCTGTCTGTCTGTGTGTGTGTCTGTGTGTCGCCGGACCATACGCAGTTTCATTGGACGGCGGTTGCCCCTGGCAACGGGTAGCGACGCATTCGCCGCGGGGTGGACGCCATTTTTAATTCCCGTTAAAAATAGGCGCACGCATTAACACTGCGACTCTGAGGTAAATTCATCAAAGTTTAACTGTCCTCTTCACTCCCCCCCCCACCACAATGTGTGCAATTACTATTATAGGGTCGGTAGATTACAGGGGCGGTTTCTTCATTATGGCGATTGGGCGACGCACCACCAATGTCATTGAACCACAGAGTCACGCTAGCCGTCACTGCAGCCTCTGGATATAGTCCAATCAGCGTCATGTCACGTTCTGTGGAGTACCGCCTCTTTTTGGGCGATTTCACTCTGGCTGAGAATCGCCCCGAGTGGCCCCATAGACTTACATTCAAAGATGTTTTTTTTCGACCGGGGGGCGCTCCAATGCATTCTCTATGGCTTCCGGGAGGGCTCGCCCTAACGTGCTTACGTCATCATACGTGCTTACGTCATCATACGTAAGCACGTTTCATCCAACAATATAATTTGTGGCCACCTAGTGGAATCTTTAATAAAATAAACTTGAGTGGTTTTTTTAATAGTGAGTATAGAAACAAACAAGATGTATTGTAAGAGTCACTTTATTTTTCATTAATATTAAAGAAGTGAAGTTGCCTTTACATGCTTAAGCTGTTAATTTATCCATTGCATGGATGGACCTTATCCTTATCAATCATCCAGACATTTGCCCCCCCTGAGAGATTTTGCAGGAGCCGCCACTGGTAGATTATAAAATTATAGCTGATTAGACAGTATTATTGTAGCGCGGGGGGGGGGGGGGGGGGAACGGCACCCGTACCCAGCCTCAGCCGGGTGGGCAATTTAGGCGAGGCCGGAGGCTCTGCACGGTACTAGGCCTCGACACCCACCACGCGACTCTGAGGTAAATTCATCAAAGTTTCACGTCCTCTTCACTCCCCCGCCACCCCAATGTGTGCAATTACTATTATAGGGTCGGTAGATAATAAAATTATAGCGATTACACAGTATTATTGTAGCGCGGAGGGGGGGAGGGGTAACGGCCCCGGTACCCAGCCTCAGCCGGGTGGCCAATTTAGGTGAGGCCGGAGGCTCTGCACGCTACTAGGCCTCGACACCCCACCACACTATAGGCCGTACATACTACTGCACAGCGGCCAAGGAGATCGTGGCTGGGGGGGGGGGGGCAGGGGTAGCAGCCCATCTGTGTATTGTGTATATATGTAAGGTTATTAAGAAATATATTTTTCACCCAGGCAACGCCGGGTACTTCTGCTAGTACGCTGATAAAGGGGTGCTGCCCGTGTTAATGGTTAAACACTGGCCTTGATATTCAGAGGTTGATGTGCGTTAATGCCCACGTGGGTCATTCTAATGATAGCTATTATCAACTCATGAACTCATGAATGTGAAAATGTATCAACCACATCTGAATTTTCTTCTCTACCGGCCACAATTATTACGAATAAAATTATTGTTTACAAAGGTCTGCTGAATACATGCACTTACATACAAGAAAATGCAGTCGTCCTCAAGACAATTCAATGGTACATTTGCTGTCCATTGAATTATGCCACTCGGCGTAATAACAATTTCACCTTGGATGACTCCATTGCTCAGCCAACGAATGACCGACCGTGTGTACTTAGCAAATATGCGGCAAATATTGAGAATGCGAATTCGCAGGCAGTGACTATTTGTAAACCGTGTGCAAAGATTTACACGAACAGTTGCTCTGTGATATCAAAAATTAGTTGGAGGAGCAAATGTTCTCGACATGGTATGTCCAGTAAAATGTGTTGTTTCATCCAGGTATTTACCAAACTGAGGTTTATTCACAGCCACATAATAAAATATGAGAAGATATGTATAGTTCTATATAAGAAAAAACTATAAAGGAAAAACTAACATTTTTTCCAATAACTGGATTCGAGATCAATGGCATTGATATATTATCCGTGTTAGATTTCGTGATGAACAGTGGTGGCACGAAGCAAACCAAGACAAATCGAAGGCCCCAAGGAGCTAAAGAGTGCATTAAATAAAAGCTAAATTTCAAATCTTCATGAACATAACATGCAAATTAACATAACCGACCAATGCATATATTTCACCGTTATCTTGTCTGCATCATTCTTCTGCCACCTCATTATAAATTGCAAAAGGAGATTCCCCCGCAAAAAAAATTTCTATGTAGGGTAACCATTGGGCGAGCACCACCATTGCTGATGGCACTCATAATGACAACCAGTGAGAAATGTAATTATAGGAGATGATTGAAGAACTTCAGAAAGAAGGTTGCAACATTGGACTCAAGATACAACATTGGACTCAAGATAATTACAAGTTTGGTAAGACATTTAAAAAATATCTATATGAAGTGTTGGAGAAACAGTAGAATATGTATATCTTCAAATTATCTCAGGTGTCCATCCTTTACCAACCTGCACTGATCCCCACGTGGTGTAGTATGGTCAAATGATCGACACGGCATGGGGAGGCCTTCATCCAGCAGTGTATTAAACATTAAATTGAACTATTACTCCAATAGAGATGGCTAGAAGCATACCTTATGATGATGATAATAATAATGAGAATTATTAATCCAGGAAAACTATGTGGAGTCCAATGATTTTCTTTGCAGGATGGTCCAGCATTGTGTTTTTATTATAAGATGGAGGGTTCTTTTTCAGCCAAAGTATGAATGTTAATACGTGTGGGGTGAAACCAAGCATCCGGAGAAACCCTACACGTGCGAGGGGGCAACGCTCTATCCCTGTACAGATGGAAACAGGAAGCGGATTAGTCCCCTCTACTGTGCGACCTTCTCCTGGCGAGCCGGGGTATGCCACCTCGATACCCACGGGCAGGGATTTTCACAACCTCTGTGCGAACCACTAACCCTCGCCTCCAGAGTGCCGGTTTACATGCGTGCATTCACACCACCCAGCTTATATAAGCACAGTTTTGATATGAGCAACATGTACTTACACGATACTGATGGGGTTGAAGGCGAAGGGCAATTTGAGAAAAGCACACGTTTTGGGATATATGAATACACATTGGTGTTTACTCTCAAGCGATTGGCTTACAATCCAGCTTCTCTCGTGCCCATTAAAGGCCATACGAACAAAAGCATACACACGAATGAATAACTCCAGATGGCTTTTCAGCAGTGCTAAAAGGCTGTATTTTTTACACGTTTCTGTGTTGTTTACAACTTGTGAATTCATAATACTCATTCTTTCAGCCGAATAAAAAAATACCTTAATTCTCCATTGCTTCATGAAATTATTGTTTAAGAAGAAAACATGTTTACAAAATGGCTCGATACAGGTGGAGGGTGGGGGGAAGAACCAATCCTCTTTGGAGTCAATGCAAGCATCTGTTGACGTTTGAATGGGCAGACGTATCTCCTATAGGACACAAGGCTCCGTGTCTCGGTGCATGAATGAAGAGTCGTTGCGCAAGAGTTTATTTTATTCGCCACCTGAACATTCAATACATCGCTCGCTCGTCAGCAACAAGATAGGCGCCTCAATGGCAATGGAGTGTGAGCATCTGGAGACTGCAAGGGAACGCATCAATCGTTAGGCATTTGCATTCTCACCGTCGACGGGGGTAAAGCTATACTTAGAGACGTGGGTATTGCACCGAGCTAGAATGTGCCAGGTAGATAACAAGCGATGCGATAGCAATGGCTTTTCAGACCGTGAATACCGTTGTTGGTGCTGTCGTCAGCATGTAATCTTCCACTGCTAGGTACAGAACTCCCCAATGTGTTTTTCTTCTATTAGTCTCTTTCCCTTGTTGCCCTGTTGCGTTGTTCTTTTAGCCCACAAATACAAACACCGGGCCACGTGTGCCCTCCACTCCCTCGCCCCTGTTTCGAGTCCAGACTCAACACCATCCTCTTCAAATCCCCCACGGGACACAGTTGTTGTTGTTGTTGACCTGGTTTCTATTTGCTTCAGGGGCGCTCTACTTTTTGTTTTTTTATTGTCGTTTTGGTGGCCTAGATCCAGGCCCCGGACTTGGACAAAAGCCATTTCGGGCAAATTGCCGTGTGGGCCGGTCCATTTTGAGGGCCTGGAAGGTGAGGGGGGTTGCTGGTCTGTGTGGGGAAATTGCAAATGTAATCAGAGTAAAATATATATGCGTGTAATATTAAGAGATGCTCTTACCTCGAATATGTACGCTTCATTAAGTCCCCATATATTCGGCAGCCACAAAGATTCTTCCTCACACCCCCCATTTGTTTTTGGACCAGCCCAAGTGGAAAATTAGCTCGCAGGGCAAAATCACGATTGAACATATAAAAAAATGTGCTACTATGTACACCGTGTCTTGCACAAAGCAATTTTAAAATAAATAAATAGATAATCACCCACGAGCCAGAATTTGGGCCGGTGGGTTTCCAAATGCCTCGGCTGATTATAATTGTTTTGTGTGCCAGCCCGTCACTGCCTCGGCCTGCAAAATATTGACTATCATCGTGGTCTCTGGAGTTCTCATCTGGTTAAACAAATGAACTTGACTTGTCTGTCATTTGTAAAAGTGCTTTCAATCACACCCTTCTTTAAACATATCGACGCCTCCCTTTCATTCCTGTAATGCGCATCTTTACGTACATTTTAAATGAAATGTTGCATCAACACAAAACTGTATTGGGATCTTATCGTGAGGGGACATGCACACGGTGAATGGGACGTGACAGGGATGGCAACGGAAGGACGGAGAGGTGGGGAAACAAGAGGGTGGGTGTTATTTGAGGGGCAACTAGTCGAAGGGGGGGGAGAAGGGGAAGCTATTATTAAGTCAGTGATTTCCTGTTCTGTATGTAAGTTGATCTTCTTTCGCGCCGTACGTAGCCAACCGTGCTAATCGGAGGTGCGGGGGAAGGACAAGACACTGAACACAACAAGTTATTCTACAGAAATGAGTTTTAAATCTTGATTTAAAAGTACATAGCTCCGGTGGCTTCCGAATGTCGGAAGGAAGAGCATTCCAGACGGCTGCAGAAGTGCAGTGCTCAGCTCCTGTTTACAACCCTGAGCCAGTGGTGGAAATTCCACATTCATATGGCACGGG